TCTAATTCTTTTACTCTTGTGAATATCCCAAATCTCGACAGGTCCTGGTGCTGTACCAACAGCTATATGGGAGCCCTATTGAATTACAAGTAAAATAATTGTGGCCATATTTTATTTCCACATTCAAATCAATCTATAATTACCGTCGGCATCCAACTGACAGACGTAACATTCTCATCGTTGCCACTATGTCCTGTACTTGCCATATCGCAAAGCCTTACAACCTAATTAATGATAAACTCATTGTCAGTGGAAGAAACGAGGCGCAGAGGGAAAATACAACTATCCAAAAAAAAAAATAAGGATAAACATGCCCTCGATGTAACTGCATTCCAAAGATATACACAAGTGCCCAATCCTACTCCTAAAACATTAGAAGATGACCAATCTACTAGATTCAAGTAGAAGTCATCCTGTTTATCGAATAATTCAAATATCAATTTAATAAAGTTGTGAAATAAAACGCATTAGAAACATGTTAACATGAGAATTACCTGAAGATCTGGCGCATCGAGCACCTTATACGGAGTTTTACTAATATACCGAGGAGGTTTACGAGGACTAGTCAAAATCAACTGCGCTTCCAGTGGAAGCGGACTCGAATTATAACTATTCTTAACCGGCGAATCAAAAAAGTAATTACGTTGTTTCGTCGGTGAGCTGAATGACAGCAATTTTTTAGGTGATTTGGTGGGCGTAGAATTTAAACGACGAATTATATCATCCGTTGTTTCCCTTAGTGGCATCATTGCCTGACCCACAACAGCTCTGTAGAGGCGGCCTTCCTCTTCTATTTAGAAATCATAGGTTAACTATTTATGATTAAAGGTACTCGCATAAAACTCATGCATATTAAAATAGATTTCGGAATATTGACGTTAATTAAAATTACCTTGCTGTGCTTCATCTTCAATAACCGATATCTTTCTCTTTTTAGAGCTTTCTTCGGTGACGATCCGCATCTGCAGATCCTGGACCGGATTGGGCGTTCTTTGTGGAAGAAGCCTATAAAGATCGATTAGGTATTTTTTAGTAATTTTAGAAAGTAGAAAACGTAGTTTGGACGAAGCTTACCGGTCATAATCAGGAGTACGAATTTCTCGTGAAGTGGATATGGCATTTCGTATTTGTGTTGTGGTGTTATAACTCCTGCCGGTATATGAGCTATTACTCTGGATATTTTCACCAGCTTGGTTTACGGAATCAGATTGTCGACCAGTGTTTTGGGGCATTATAAAAAGATATACAACTTTTTGTATGAGCTAAACGCGTATGTGAAGTTTGTAACAGTTTTGGCAACGTGAAAGAATAAGTTCTTTTTAATAATGGATACATTTTTACGCGAGAATAACTAAAATTCTTATATATAGAAAATGTCGTGTTTTTGTATATATAAGGCTAAAGTTCGCCTTACACGAGTTAGGTTATAAGCTTACCGTAACAAAAAAATTTGCAACCTTACAGTTGCAAGGGGAGTGGAGAAGGATAGTGCAACTGTTTAACGCAGTATCAAAATGATAGTGAATGAGAGCGAGCAGAGTAGGTGGTAATGGGATTTAATGAAAGTTTTTGTAATGTTGCATATCATATTGATGCGCATGGAAAATTTGATAAAAACTCGGTTACCAAAATTGTTCGGTTTATTGAAAGATCGGGCAAAACCGTACAGTAGCTTTTGCATTTACTGATTTACTGTTTGTTT